GGCATCGACGCCGGCCCCGGCTGCAGCGTCGGCTCCGGCCCCGGCCCCGGGTCCCTCGTCGGGGCCGCCTCTCGGGCCACCAGCCTCGCTCCTGGACACCTGCGCCGTGTGTCAGCAGAGCTTGCAGAGCCGGCGTGAGGCGGAGCCCAAGCTGCTCCCCTGCCTGCACTCCTTCTGCCTGCGCTGTCTGCCGGAGCCCGAGCGCCAGCTCAGCGTGCCCATCCCCGGGGGCAGCAACGGCGACGTCCAGCAAGGTGAGCAGCAGGCCGCACCCTGGTGCCGGGTCAGGTGACGCGGGCGGGGGTCCTGGGGCTGCTCGCAGGTTGCCGTGCCGAGAGGTTTCAGAGGCGAAAGGCACGGCCCCGGGGACGGTTACTAGAGAAGCTGCACCACCGGAGATACGGGGAGGCAGAAGGGAGGGGTGCCGGCAGCGAGGGCCTGGGGGAGGGGATGCTGCGAGGGAGGTTGGAGGAGCTTCTGCAGAGGGTGGACTAACAGAGACAGAAAAGGGGTCTGCAAAACCCGCCGCGAGAAGTGCTTTTGGATGCAAGGGCTCTGGTCCGGGAGAATTGGACGAGTGAGTGGCCAGATGGGGCTTGGGATGGATTGCTTTGGAGAGGGGGATTGGCCTGTTCTCGGCTAGGAGAACGAACTACCGATTAAATGATAATAAAAGGCACTGGAGACCTTAGGCTAAAAGAGGGCCCCACGATGACATTGCGATGAGGAGGTCGGTAAGTGATAATAGTTGTGAGGGGCCTGCATGGTTAGGGGAAATCCTTGGATTTGAGGATGAAGAAAGGAACTTGGAACGGAAGAGAGTGTTAGGAAGAGTTGGGCTTACATTTATTTCGTTGGTTATGCATTACTAGGCCCAAGTATTCAGGGCACTGAAGAAATACTCAGGATTTCATTCAGTCTGTGTAACCTGCAGCAGTAGAGGTGGCTACCACGGTTGGGCATAATGGAGGGAAGGTCTGGGAAGCTTCCTGGTAAAGGAAGTCCTGGAGCATGTTTCTTGATGAGTGAGCACCTCGATTGGCTGCACAGGGCACTTTCTACAACCCTTTAACTGAAAGGTATGTAAGGTGATTGGTGGAAGTTAGATTTACTAATGGGCTCGATAGTTAAGGGATCTACCCTTCCAGTTTCTGAAACTGTTAGGTTTAGATGTGTTAGGGATTTGAGATGCAGTATTGGAATTTTCCATTTCCTAGAAAGATCTCTTGTGTACTGTGTAGCAGAATATAAGTACTCATTATGAAACTATGTTTCTATACCGAAATTAATAAATACATTAATGGGTAGATACATCCTACAATTAAATGAGTTAGGTTTTTATGACAACCTTGCTAAAAGGCTTATAATTTCAAAGCTTTTTGAATGACTTTGGAACTGCCAGGAAGGAATTGTGGACTATGCCAAAAAGCCTCTTACCCTAGGCTGTCCTCAAACTCTATCTACATAGTGTCTCGAATGACCCTGAACTTCTGATCCTACTGCTTCTGCTTCCTAAATTCAGGGATTAGCCATACCACTACTCCTATGTAGCTCTGATTGTAGTTGGGATTTTCTTTGGGGCACCAACCAGCTCCAGAATAAAGACATGGAGACTTATTAATTATGAATGTTTGGCCTTAGCTTAGGCTTGTCCTGCTAGCTCTTATAACTTAATTTAACCTGTTTCTATTCATCTGCATTTTGCCTCAGAGCTTTTTACTTTTCTTTCATTCTGTATGTCCTACTTGCCTGCTTCCTCTGTGTCTGTCTGGCCTCTGCCCCTCCCCACAAACCTCCTCCTTACTTTCCCTGCTGGGAAGTTCTGCCCTATACCTCCTTCCTCACTGTTGGCCATTCAGCTTTTTATTAGACCAATCAGGTGCTTTAGGCAGGCAAGGTAAAACAGCAACACATCTTTACATAGTTAAACAAATATTCTGCAACAGCTGGTGATGGAATCCAGGATTTCATTCATGTTAGGCAAGCACTTTTTTTTTCTATCAGGAGGAAAAAAATTCAGATTTGTGATCCAGAAAGATGACATAGGGCACTCGGAGGGACAAGAAGAGGAGGCAAGGCTTCAGGCAGGGGGACCAGTTAGAATCTTGACAATGATCTAGATGAGAAATTCTTTGGAACGGGCAGTAAAAACTGATACCAGATGTTATAAAAGGGCACATTTGGTATTAGGGTAGGTATTGGCTTTATGAGAAATGCTGAATTTGGGTTTTTTTTCCCTAGGGTCATTTCCTAAGAAATTGGAGAGATGAATTCTCTTCTCTTCTTTTTTGAGACAGGGTTCCTGTGTGTGTAGCCATGGAACTTACTTTGTAAACCGGGATGGCCTTGAACTTGGGACCCTTCTGCCTTCTGAACACTGGGATTAAAGGTGTGTACCACCATTGGCCAGCCAAAAAGAAAGTTCTTAGCTGAGTGTGGTGGTGTATACCTATAATTCCATCACTTAGGCTGAGGCATGGAGGATTGCTGCTTTGTCCAAGGCCATCCTGGTTTACATAGTTAGTTCACAATGAAACGCTGTCTACAAATACAACAACAAATAAATTAAAATCTGGGGGCTGGAGAGATGGCTCAGTGGTTAAGAGGTCCCAGCACCCACATGGCAGTTCACAACTGTCTGTAACTCAAGATCTGACATCCTCACACAGTCATACATGCAGCAAAACACCAATGCAAATAAAAATAAATAAAAATTAAAAAAAAATTAAAATCTGAGTTTTGGTCGATGGAGATACTAAATGATAATAGGTATAAAGAGGATGACTGCTTATGGCCCTTAAGAGCATAATAAGACACATGAGATTCTGTTAGGGGAGACATTTAGAGGGAACCAAAGATGCAAATGTATCTGATTAGCTGAGGGACTGAAGTTACAAAGTTGGCTCTCTGAAATTTGTGCAGGAGAGAGAAGAATCTGTAAATTCCTTCAATTCTTTTCCCTTTTGTTTTTGAACTAAAATAAGTGGAAAGGAATAAACACAGTCACTTCTAAGTAATGCTGCTTTCTAAGTAATTTTCTGAGGAGAATCTAAAACAAATTGAGTATTGAATCAGCCATTTTTAGGCAGACAATCCAGGAAATATTTTGTCAGTAACTTATATGTGCCCTTTACATTTCATAGCACAGTTAAAAATCTAGTTTTTTTTTTTTTTTTTTTGGTTTTTCGAGACAGGGTTTCTCTGTGTAGCTTTGCGCCTTTTCCTGGAACTCGCTTTGGAGACCAGGCTGGCCTTGAACTCACAGAGATCCGCCTGCCTCCCGAGTGCTTGGATTAAAGGCGTGCGCGCCCACCGCCCGGCAAAAAAATCTAGTTTTTTACTTGCTCATCTCTGTTTTCTGTTAGACTATTGCAAAATGTGTGTTCAATAAAGGACTTTTGAGCAAATAAGAATTATCTAAAAGCCAGGGGCTGGTGGCACATGCCTTTAATCCCAGCACTTGGGAGGCAGAGTCGGGCAGATCTCTGAGTTCGATGCCAGCCTGGTCTACAGAGTGAGTTCCAGGACAGCTAGGGCTATGCAGAGAAATCTTGTTCAAAAAAACAAAAAACAAAAAACAAACAAAAAATCAACTTCCTAATGCTTCAACCCTTTAATACAGTTCCTCATGTTGTGACCCATAAAATTATTTTTGTTGCTACTTCATAACTGTAATTTTAATACTGTTATGAATCTGTAATGTAAATATTTCTGGAGATAGAGGTTTGGCAAAGGGGTCATGCGCCACAGGTTGAGAAACTGATCTAGAGGGACTGGAGAGATGACTAATTAAGAGCACTGATTACTCTTACAGATGACCAAAGTTGGTTGCCAGCACCAAGGGAACCCATCAGGGGGCTTTCACCTGCCTGTAACACTGCCTGTAGCTCTAGCGTGGACACACACACACACACACACATAAATCTTTTAAGATATAAATCATCTGCAGAGCTTATTAAATATTGATTTTTGGGATTTTTCTCAGAAATTTGATTTGAGATTGACTCCAAGTAACGATAGCTTTTTTTTTTTTTCATTTTTAAATAAATCCAGCTCTAGAGGGATTCTTTTTTTTTTTTTTAATTTATTTAACTTTATTTTTATGTATATTGGTGTGAAGGTCTCCTGGAACTGGAGTTACAGACAATTGTGAGCTGCCATGTGGGTGCTGGGAATTGAACTCAGGCCCTTTGGAAGAGCAGCCAATGCTCTTAACCGCTAAACCATCTCTCCAGCCCCATAACTATACCTTTTTAAAATAGAATTATTTGTGGGGTGTTTTGCCTGCCTGTATATCTTTGCATGTGTGTCCCTGTTGCCTTTGGCCAGAAGAAGACATCAGTTCCCCTAAAACTGACTGTGAGTCACCATGTGGGTGCTGGAAATCGAACCCAGCTCCTCTTGAAGAGCAGCCAGTGCTCTTAATAGC